CAGACTGTTACGGGTGTGAACCTTGGCAGCCTTCATAATCCACATCTTCTTCTCCTTGCCGTGCATTGTCTCGGTCTCGTCGCTGGTGGCATCGGGAATCTCCTGGGCTACTGACAGGAACTCGGCGGCCTGGGAGTAGGGTACGGCGAAGGCGAGAGCACTGTCCTGGGAGTAGGTGGTGAGAGAGTTGGAGGTCGAGGGAAGCGAGGTAATGGAGAGGTTCTGGGGAATCGGGACGGCGTGGGTGCGCGGGGCGGTGTTGATCGACTCGGGAGACTGAGACTCGGGGAAGACGAGGGTCAGGAGGGCCTGGTGGTCGACTTCACCGGCGATGGAGGCCTCGGGCTCGACATTCTGCCATTTCCAGGCAGTTTCGGGACCGGCTTGCAGGCGTCGGCTGCCCTCGACGAGGGATGACCAGTCGGCGGTGCGAACGCTGATGGTGGCATCGAACAAGCTCTCCTGCAGCAATCCAACGTAGGAAGTGCTGGCCAAGACCGCAACAATGACAACGGTATGGATAGGGTGCGAGCAGGCGAGCTTGGAGAGGAACTTTAAGGCGGGCGTGATCTTTTTGTTGACCCAGGAGGGAGCAGCGGCCTGAGCGGCGGGCTGCTCACCCCGAAAACGGCGGGGGAGAAGTGTTGAGGATATCATGGCGAAAGTTGCGGTGAATCAAGATCGTCTATTAGAAGGAAGGCATTGGTGTACAACGACCGAAGAGAAGAGGACGAAGGCGGAGCCTGTTTGTTGCGATTAGTGATTGAAGGACTTTCGGAAGCCGGGCAAGAGGCAATTGTGCGCGAAAAGACGCGGAGGGGTGGTTGGTGTCTTTGGTGGAAGAGAGAGGCAGAGAGCGATGGGTCGGCTGGAATTTGGGTTGAGGAATTTTGGCGACGGAGATGAGATGGGATTGTGTGGGATGCGCGCTGCGGTGCGATGCGATGCGGTGCGGTGCAATGCCGATTGGAGGGTTGTAATGGACGTACCTGTTGAGCCAACGCCGTTGACGTCGTTTTGGAGTTTAGATTTTGCAGCAAAGTGCCTCAAAAGCTCACACACCACGATGACACGAGAGAGGGGGAAGAGAAGTTTTCGAGAGGGATGGCCAGTGAGCAAAATAAAATTAAAGAGGTGGTTGCGAAAGGTGTCGGAGATCGAGGGTGGTGGTCGCGGAGAGCCGAAGTCGCAAGGAGCTGTTGAAGTGCTCGAATCGGAGACGGGAGTGGATTGCTCAGTTCCTGTTGAAGAGGATGCCTTGCAAAAGGGGTGGGGGGAGAAGATCGCTCAGAAGGGGAGAGGGAGAGGAGCAAGACGAGAATCAAGAGTCGCGATGCAACGGGCAGCCAGGTACCTTTTAAAGATATGGAGACCACCACGGCACTAAGGTATTCACAAGTGGCGTAAGGTAGCGGGGGTGTGAGGATCAAGAGAGCAGAGAAACAGACAGGATAAGACCTTGTGGTCAAAGGAGCAACAACCTGCCTGACCTTGATAAAAAGAGGTGTGAAGGATAAGATAGGAGAGAGGCACGAGGGGATAGGAGCGAGCTTAAGCAATGGTTCGTGTTCCTCCCACCTTAACTTTCGCAGTAGGTACCTTTACAGTAAGGTGCAGGGAATAACAACACAGAAAATAAGATCAAAAAACCAAAAAAGAGAGTTGCCAGACACCCGGATGCTTGTCAATGGCACAGCGAACGGAGGGAACAAGCAGCCAGGTGAGGTGCTCTAGGTACTTGTTATTTTGTGACAAAGCCTATACGTAAGAAAGTATCTCGAGGATCCACTTTGGGACGGAAAGTGAAATGATGGTAATCCCAGCGACATGTTGGCGCAAGTTGTGTATCTTTTTTTTTTTTTTTTTTTTTTTTGGTGGTGGGCAATGAGGATGAGCAGTGCCAGCCATGGGATGGCCATTCTGGGCCAAAGAGGAACACTGGAAGAGAGGGAAAAAAAAAAAGTGATGAATTGGACAAGGGTAGAAGATACGTACCTAGTTGCTGCCCCACCAAGTGCAAATTTACCAATGATGGTCCGCGCCGATGTACCGCGGGACTCTGAGAGGTACTCTCGCAGACTAATCCCAGAAAGGCAGAGCACACCGTCGTATTATCACGCTGAACCAAATGCACACAGGGTGCTCTCGTTGTGTCATGCCCAACACCGATTCGTGAGCTTCAACGGTCTAAGGTACCTAGTGCTCATTTGTTTCTTCAGAGGCTGGCAGACGTTGGGCGTTGTGACAAGTTGGTGCGCCTGTCACCTCCCATTCGCGGCAGCAACCAGCCTACCTAGGTACCTTGGGTATTGCCATCCGCTAAGACCATCTTGCGGAGTGTTGGGAAAGGCCAGGCGGGCACTAAATGCTTCCATCGTCACTAACGTCTATCACAGTATCTTTTGTACGTCCAACTTGGGCAAAGTGCGAATGTTCAAAGCCAACCTAATACCTAGGTAAGCGCACGTAAGGCAGTAGCAAATGTGTCATTGGGAGCCACGGCACTGCCTAGCTGCAGACGACGCACCCGCACGGATGGCGCGTCACATCTCATCCACTCGTTGCTCTTTGCTCTAGGTAATGTGCCATACTATGTGGCTCTGCTGTTAGTCTCTGCGATTTTTCGGTCAGAGAGAACTCAAAAATGTCATTGGAGAAGCAGCAGTGGAAAGGTTTCGTTCTGCAGAATAGATCAACAGCTGAGACCCAGCTAAATCAGCCTCAAATGCAGTTTGCTCGACTTGAAGGTGTCGTGTTTGCTCGATGATCTGGATGTTTGAACCCCAAATGTACCCATCATATCAGCTTATCAGCTTATCAGGCCTGCTTGAGACATGCAGCACACCTCGCTTCCAAATCGAATAAGCCGATAACGCACCTCAAGATCAGCCACGCTTATTCGTATCTTGCCTTTGGCATAGAATACTCTGGTGCCTAATTCCAATGGAAGTCTGACTTTGTGAACTTGTCAAGGCTCTCAAATGTCCAAGAGCACCGCCGCCTGGTCGCCGCGTCATACCTACAAACACGGGACCTGCTGCGACAATTCTTCAGCTGCTGTGCCCCAAAGAGACGGATGAAGCAAGGTAACCACAGACACAGCAGGGACGGTGGTAGGAAGGCGTCGTTCGGTGCCTTGGTTGCGTCGAGGGGCTAGGCGTGTCGCAGCACCTGTGCGCCATGCGTCGTGCGTCCTTCTGTGTGGTTAAGTCGCTTCTGGAAGGCCGCCTTTTTGCTGTTGAAATGCGTCGAGGTGATAGGAACGTGGGGCTGCTTTACCTTAAACAACCCGAAGTGAAACCTGAGCTCAGATGAAGATGTTGAACTGTGTATCACTGGGCGCGGTTTCCTTCTTCGCATCCTTTTTCGTAGGGTACCTTACCTTGGGTAAGGTAGCTATACCTTGGTATCCGTACCTTCTTCGATACAATGAAGGAAGGGAACAGTTCTTCTTTCCAGTCCCAAATCGAATGAGAATTGACACCTACAAAATGTCCCGATTAGGAAAGGCGGCTTTGATTAGAATTGCTGTGGGTCTCCCGCTCCTGCAGCAGTGCAACGATGGTGGATGGCTCCTTCCAGCTGCTTTTCGTTGGCACTGCATTCTGCTCCTGCATTTGAGACGCCATTTTTCTAAAGGTCCTTGCTACAATTTTCCCAATTCCGTTTGGTTGCAAAAACAATTCAGTTCAACTCCGTTCATGCATCATCTTGGACTTACGTTATCACGGATAGATAGCTGTGCCGCATGAGCCTCACCAGCGACATCTCACTGCTGGTACGAAAAGATGACTCTGCTCAAATTCCTACCTCAGTCTCACGATGCGCAAGACCCCTTGTCGAAAACTCTTCCATCCCCTGCCAGCCTCCCCAGATGGAGAAATGCCACTCGACATGGCCATTCATCCAGATTGTAATGCCCGGACGGGAGACAAGAGACTTTTCTCTGCCCTCTTCCAGCCGTTCCAAAGTCTCTAGCCTCTCTCGGACTATCCCCTCTTGCGGGCCTGATCTGATAATGAGGGAAAATCCTCCTGCCCACTCAACTTGAATCCCCCATCCTCCCGGTCCTTTCTCATGTTATCTTGACGTTTCCGGCCTTGGTGGGCATCAGCGGGTACCGTCCGGCGGTGAAGCTCCAGTCACGGTCAAAGGTTCGTCGCCAATGTCCATCAACGTCAGATCTGTGCAGCGAACCCCTGGCGATCTCCCTGTGTTATTCTTGCCTTGTTCCCCGTCTTTGTTTCTTGCCTGGCACCCACCCTCCTCAAGCCTTGTCAGTGGTCTCCTCACTGGCCCCCCGAAAGTCTGCGCCTGCATAGACCAACTGAAGGTCCCGAGTCTGCCCTTTCCCCCGGGCCTTGCTGCTCTGTCGCGGGGCCACGGATCCTTCGCGACCCGTCACTATCCAAGCATCGCTGACCACGTCGACGACGGCACAGCGAGTCCTTGTTACTCTATCCGTACACTAGACTGAGAATGTCTACGAACACGCTATGGATACTCCATGCTGTCAGTCAATTCTGCTCGCTGGCTGCTACGAACCAAGCCCGCAGGGTAGGCAAGCTACTTTGCTAGCGGCCGTTGACGAGCTACAATAGCTATGGCCTTACTACAAGTAGAGGCAAGAAGACAATCTTAATCTCAGTCATGACGACAAAGGGGAGAGCACAGAATACGGATACACGGCCGATCCATCGTTACCAAGCTACGTAACCTCTCACATCGCCTCAAGCTATCCATGCATACAAATACAGCACCCGTGTAACCGGGGAAGAGCTGTATCAATGCATGTGCCCAAAGTATACACCATTGAAGCTGATGCTGGTAAACCCAGCTCGGCGGTTCCCCAAACGCCATCAGTCTCTGAAACAACAGATATCCCGAACTCATCGCATAACCTATCTTGGAGGGAACACGGAAGCATCGTTGGCCTCTGCTCTGGGGTTTTCGGTGTCAAAGATATCAGACGGCTTTGGAGTACAACGTTGATCGGCCCCTCATCCCCGTCCACCCGCTCCAACCCTACGGACCTCCGGGCCCTCCATGCTGATGATCTTGACTCCGCTGGCCTCCAGGGCGCCCTTGCACTCGTCCCATTTCTCAGCGTCCACCGGCCTGGTACCCTCTTCCACGATGAAGGTCCGGAACCCCTCCTTCTGGGCATCCAGCGCGGTACACTTGACGCAGTAGTCACCAGCCAGACCGACCACATAGACGTCCGTGACGCCCTTGCCCTTGAGAGAGGCCGCAAGTCCGCTGTCGGACACTCTGGGTGATTGGAAGGGGTCGTAAAAGACGCTGTACATCTCAACGTCCTTATTCTGGCCCTTTTCGATAACAGTGTCTACGGCCGAGGCATCTAGCTCCGGCACCAGGGCTGCACCGGGCGTACCCTGTACACAGTGCACTGGCCACAGGCGGGTGTGGAATGTCTCGGCGCTGTTTCGCGGGTTGACGATATCGATGGCATCGACGAAGGGTTGCTTGCCATCGTGGTTTGATGCGAACGAGATGTGGTCTTGGGGATGCCAGTCTTTCGTGGCAATCTTGATCGTAAACGGTAGGCGTAGTAGTGAGTTGACAACGGGATGAATGTCGCGGCCGTTTGCCACGGCAAGTGAGCCGTTCTCGAGGCGATATTAGTCTCACCACTCACTCTCAGCAGCGACGAGAGCTCACTTGAGGCTTCACACCGCGAATGGGCCAAGATGTGACGAACCAAGAAGTCAAATGTCCATCTCAGGTACTTACAGGCGGGCAAAAGTCTTCTTGAAAGTCAACGACGATCAGCGCTGGTCTGAATAGGTCCTCGGACATGGTGGCTGATGCGTAGTACCTAGTCGCTTGCCGTGGTTCTGGGGGCTGTCGAAACGGCTCGTTCTGGCTGTGTGGCTGGGCAGATGAACGAGTCAAGGGTCGACCAGTCAAAGTAGTTGAAGCGTCCTAGGCTTGACAGCAAGGTGGTGGCTTGTGAGATATCGTGTGTCGCGTGCTGCGCATCGAGGCAGAGGGGTAATTAGATGGGTGCGCAATTCGTGATGGCATCAACGATAACGTCAGCTTTCTTCGCCTGCTTATCGCCAACGGCGGGGAATCACTTCACTGGAGTAGTGGGAAACCTGGTCTGTGATAAGTGAGTCTAGGGGTCCTTGCAGCGAAATTACAGGCTTTGGGACGCTATTGGCAGGCGCAAATTGCAGCAGCCCGATCTGCGGCAGCTGTTCAAACTTCAAAGGACGGGGACACTACCTAAGGTCACTTATCCTTATCGGGCAGGCTTGGGTCTGGCTTATCTTATCCTGGCTTATCGTCATCAGGTGAGGTACCTGAGGCAATCCCCAAAACGGGCACTCAAACGTGCCAAAGTACTCCGTACCTAACAACAAAGCTTTTGCCCAGTGAACTCCCAACTCCAACTCCAAAGTGCGACACAACCACAAGATTAACAACCACCAGCTTGATTCGCCCACTCGCCGTGGATTATCCCTTGATGCTGTCTCCATCCTGAACCAAGCAGGAGCTCGGCCCTCGCAGCTTGACACACAACACATCATTGGCCTGAGGTGCCGGGAGCCATGTTGATGTGAGGAACCCCTGCCAGGTCCCGAGCATTCCTACGGGCCAGGACGCAGGCACTGGGAGTCTGGTAATGGAGGGCATCAATGCGCCACCCTCCAAGAGCTGAAGCTGAGCCAAGCCCGCCTCAGCAATGTCAGCGCTCCAGTCTTGACTCTCTGGGAATCCTGGGTCTAGGAGCTTGTCTCGCCCTCCACAGTCCACCTGCGGCTGATGGCGCCAGCCATCCACCAGTGCCACCCCACGGGGAATCTCAATGACCACTCTGAGGCAGACGTTGTGCTAAGTTTCGAGACGGCTCATTGGGTTGTGGCCGACGCTGTGAGACATGGGTTGGGCATCTTGTGCAGTTGCTGAATGCTCTAACCGCTACCACCAACGCTGGCCAACAGTTCGGGGTTCAGTTGCAGCAGGCAAGGCAGGATAGGAACAGCTACAGATTACATCCTCGTCAAATGCCGTCGTTTGAGTCAAGCATCTGCGTATTGTGCCAGAATGCTTCCCCGGGCGTCAGTGAAGATCCGAGCTCGGCCGGGACAGCTGCTTCGGTACGCAGTTGGGCACTCCGTTTGCCGGCTCAATCACCCTGACAATCGTTTCCCAAATATCCTCAGCTCGCCGATGGAGACGTCATTCCCATCCAGTACTCAACGATTTCTCAAGTACGCATACAAGCCAACCGGCAGATTCTAGCACCAGGCTGGCACGACTGGCACGCCAATCTGTTAGCAGAGCTCTCAGCTGTCCAGTGTCCACACCTCACCAGTATCAAAGCTCCCGCCTCAGAGCTCCCCTCGAGCTGAGTCGTGAACAGAGAGCTCCAGTCCCCATTCTGGACCTGCGTCTCAGCCCTGTTGTGTCTCTCTCCAATCAAAAGCACCAAATGGCCGTTCAACTGCGGAAGTCTCCGAGAGCTGCTGCCGCCGTGTCTCGACGTGCCACATCAGACGGCAGCCAGCCACTTCAGAGGTGACAGCCCAATAGTGCGATGCAACGGGTTAGCCTGTCGCACGGGTCACTCGCTGGAGGGGGAACGGCGATATCTGATAAGAGCTCCAAGCTCCGCGTTTGCGTCGCAGGTTGCCAAAGAACCGACAACGCTCTTACACATACAGCTTCAACATAACTGAAGATGCGTCTCTCTACTATTCTCCTGGCCGCGGTCGCCAGACCGGTCGTGTCTTGGGGCAATGTCGGTCACCGTACCGTCGGATATCTCGCCGAGAAGTACCTGACTGATGAAGCCGCCGCCATCTACGGAGACCTGCTCGCCAACGATCGCAACTATGACTTCTCTGATGCTGCGACTTGGGCCGATACACTCAGAGGCCACATGGGCTGGGCAAGCAAGTATCACTACATCAGTACGAATCCTGTCACCTGGACCATGCCATAGCCACGCTCGCAAGATCCAAAAGCTCACAACTTGCCAGATCCCCGCGACGACCCCCCTAGTATGTGCGGCATGAAGTACCCTCAAGACTGCCCATCCAGCGGCTGCATCATCTCCGCCATCACAAACTACGTAAGAACCACCCTTGCATCGCAGCAATCATCAAGACTGACCTGCTCGGACCAGACATCTCAAATACTCGATACGAGCCTCCCACACATTGACCGCAAGAACGCGACAATGTTTGTAATACACTTCCTGGGCGATATCCATCAGCCCCTGCACGCCACAGGTCTCCTTCGCGGCGGCAACGACATCCGGCCCGTCTGCTGGCGCCGCCAGCCCAATCACGGTGTCTGCAACGGCCCAATGAGCCTGCACTCCGTCTGGGATACCCAGATTCCGCACCGCATCCGCGGTCTGCCGCCGCACCTGAGCATTCCGCAGGAGAAGGTTGCCGCCGCCTCATGGGCAGCTGACCTCTATCAACGCCAAGAGCAGGCAGGTGTCAACGCAACGGACGGGCAGTGCATTGATCTCAAGACGGGTTCGTGTGCGTTGGGCTGGGCCACGGAGTCGAATGCGTACGTCTGTTCACACGTGCTGAAGAAGGGTCTGGCTTGGTTGAAGTCGAATGACCTCAGCGAGGGGTACTTTGATGAGAACTGGGAAGTCGTTGATGAGGTGATTGGGAAGGCGGGCGTGAGGCTGGGAGCGTGGCTGAACGCCATTGCCGAGAGATTATCTGCTGAGAAGAAGGAGCCTGTGTTTGAGGATCTTTGAAGAATCAAACGGGCTTGATCGCAGGGCATGAGGTCCAGGCTTGATGTCAACATCTGAGGGCGATACTTGGCGAGATCTGATCTCCTGCCAAGCACCGACCTGGAAGTCCAGAGACTTGCTTGCATGTCTTATGTTAGCAGTCTTTGATTGAGAATAGATCGATATTTCGTGAAACACACCATCGAGCTGCTTCTGATTCCTTTAGGACCAGGGAATACGACGCTGGTGACTTACATATCACGAAACGTATGATTGTAGCCAAGTTGAGGCGGTGCTCAGCAGCTTATTGACGACGACAGGTATGGAAAGCTACGTTTGGCTCTTGATGGCATGAAGAAACGATGAGAACTTAGACTCTTGAACGGCATCCCATTGTATTCGTTCCTATGGGGTTGGTGGTCATCGCTTCTGCTTTCCATATAATTGATCGACCACCGATCATTCTTTACTCCGTGACTATGGGCATTAACATCGTCCCGAGCCAAGACTCGGTAGGCGATGAATAGCCATAAGCCTCTATTAAGTCTTCTCCTACCTGCCTAGACTTGCCAACTTGGGAAAGCTGGCGTTAATGAGAGCAAACAGACTCATGAGACCTGGACCCCATGAACCGGCCGTAACAACAGGCCGTCATCTTTGGTGTCTTTTCATCTATCCTATCAGATGCACCAGCAAACCAAAGTCCCAGCCGAGGCGTTGTACATAAGGGTGGTCAATGTCACTCCAGAACTCAGTTGTCGGGATTCAAAGTTGGGGTCGACGGGTTGAACGCGGGGTCGACAGGCATTTCGCAGGATGCTTCGGCCAAGTTGATGTTTTGTCGATTAGTGATTACTTACATGCAGTGGTGAATCTGCCGAGGCTCCCTCCGCGAACTGCAGACCGGAGACATATAAGTAGAATGACAGAAACTGATGGCAGTCGCTGTTTACGTTGCATCATTGACGGCAATTTCACCTTTGATAGTAAATCACAAGCACTCATAGAACAGATCCGCAAAAAACAATGGCCTCATTCCCAAATAAGCTGCCCGAATCATACGCTTCGTTCAAGTACGATGGTCTACTCGTCTCCCATGTCCCAGCGAGCTCTTCATCCGTTACAAAGGTCATCATGGTCACCCTCAACCGGCCCAAAAAGTACAACGCCATGAAGGGAGACATGTTCACCGGCCTCGAGGTGATCTTCAACACCGTCAGCGAGGACCCGCGGGTCCGCGCGGTCGTCATCACGGGGGCAGGCAAGGCGTTCTCCGGAGGGGCGGACCTGGATGTTGGGTTTATGGGTATGATGGCCCTCAAGGAGACGGAGGAATCGATGAGGGATTTTAGGGATTGGTGAGCCTTGCCTGATTCCAAAGCCATAGAAACAGTAATCCCGCAGGATACTTAACGCGAATTCGGACTGATGCATACTTCACTCTTCACACAGGGGCGGACGCGTCGCGCTGGCAATCTCAAACTGTAAGAAACCCACCATCGCCGCCGTCAACGGCCCCGCCGCCGGCGTCGGTCTGACAATGATCCTCCCGGCCACGATCCGGGTAGCCTACGAGGGCGCGCGGTGCGGCTTCCCCTTCTCCCGGCGCGGTCTCGTCCTCGAATCCTGCAGCGCCTTCTTCCTCCCGCGCCTCATAGGCCTCTCGCGCGCCAATCACGTCGTCGCGACGGGGGACATGTACCCCGTCACGGATCCGCTTGTCAGCGGGCTGTTTTCAAAGTTCTTGCCCTCGCCGGGGGAGACGGTGGAGTACGCGGTGAGGTTGGCGGAGGATCTGGCGGAGAATACGTCGTTGGTGAGTGGTAAGTTGATGAGGGATATGATGGTGTATTGTCCGGCTTCGCCTGAGGGGGCGCACGTGTTGGATTCGAGGGTGTTTGTGCAGCTTGCTGGGACGGAGGACAATGTTGAAGGGGTGAAGTGTTTCTTGGAGAGGAGGAAGCCTGAGTTTACGGGGTCTGTTGATCGGGAGAGTGTTCCGTTCTGGCCATGGTGGGATAGGGATGATGGGCGGTTTGTGAGGCAGTTGCAGAAGGCTGCTAAGCTTTGATGAGAGTGAGTGGTGAGAGTGAATGGTGAGAGTGAGTTGAGACACATCGTGTCATTCTGTGAACCTGGGCAAGATAAGTAGATTGATTGACTGCCGGAATCGGGAATTTCTACACGTATCTAAGCATTTTACTACCTCTTGAATATCTTCAGTTGAGTGTTACCAGAGTCTATAGTGGGGTGATCTCTGCATTGTGTTAGTCTGGACTCGAGATTCGACAAGTTCATGATACGGCCACTCATGTGAATAGTAGTTCGTCTTCAGCCCCAAACTTTCGACGTGGTGTAGAACTTTGCCCTTCAGGAGCTTAAAGCTCTCTCATCGTGATGAAGGTGAGAAAAGAGTGACACGCTCATGTTTACATGTGAGCGCACGAGGTGTGACAGGCGTCGTCCAGCGCATCCGCTAACGATTTAAGCACCGTGACACCCTAGTCCCGATCTTTAGGATCTTCTTGGGGGTGGATCCCCCGGATCGATCGCTAGTAGCTCCCCCCTGGGCGTAGTGGGCGCAGGTGAACAACGAAGAGGCGCTTTGCGGGTGGTGACCTCATTAAACTCAATGTCACAGCGTCATAGACGCCATAGTTACACATTTCTCGTCCCATATTTGACCCGCACGCGTCCGCATGCCAGCTGGGATGTCTACACTGATGTGATGAGATAACGAATCTCTCCTTTGACATTGATGGCATCTCAGGATCCCAATCGTGACCTTGAGCAAAACGGCTCCAAAACCATGTCGCAAAACGGAAACACAGGCAAGGATGGGCGGAAGAGGGTCCTCGTTGTCGGCGCCGGTGCTGCTGGGTAAGCAAAACTATCAAGACGAACGATTGTAATTCGCACGGCGAGAGACTCACATGTCGTAGCATGTCGACAGCGTACCATCTCTCGAACCACCCGGACAAGTTCGATGTGACCCTCATCGATTCGGTCGATTACTGCGGAGGACAGGCCTTTTCGATGCCCATTAACAAGGAGCGACACGGCGCGAGCTGGTTCAACCAGGGTGTACAGGGCGGCAGCTACATCTTCCACCACACGCTGACCATGTTCGCCCGCCAAGGCTACCACGCGGATCCCGTCAAGCTTCAGGTCTCCTTCGGTAAAGACGATAAGTTCTGGACCAACGTCTTCCCGACCGAGTTCATCGAGAAGCACCAGGCCGAAGTTCGCAGACTGGCTTTCATGCTCAAGATTATGAGGTGGTTCGAAGTTTTTTTCGCATTACTGCCGTTGAAAATTGTCTTCAAACTGTTTCGATTCTCAGACGAGTTCACAAACGTCGTGGGATTGCCCATGACTGCTCTCTTCCTTGGTACTGGCAACGCGACGCCAGAGGTGCCCGCCATCATGCTGGAACGTCTTTGTACTTCGCCAACGTACGGAATGTGGTACCCCGCCGACCCGAACAGCGTCGCCTCTAACCAGCCGCCAATGGTCGTCTTCCCCAACTTTACCGATTTCTATACTACCTGGAAGAAGGACCTTGAGTCTCGAGGCGTGACCGTTCGCTTGTCGACGGAGCTCACTGAGGTTGTCCACCGCAACAAGCGCGGCGTCCTCGTCAAGACCAAACCCCGGACCCCCGTGGAAGACGGACATAACCCCGTTGGCGGCGACCCAGATGCAATCGAGTCAGAGGAACACTACGACGAGATCGTCATGTGCGTCCTTGCCGACACCGCTAAGAAGATCCTGGGCAAGACCTCATCATGGCGCGAGCGCAAGGTGCTCGGCTCGGCTACCTTCTCCGACGATATCACAATTACTCACAACGACGCCGACTACATGAAGAAGTACTATGAGAACTTTTACGACGAGAAGAAGGCTGTAAAGACACTCGGCAAGAAGGGCGAGGTTGACGAGTCATCCCGCCTTGCGTTCGCCAAGGACAACTTTAGACCCATGTACTACATTCGCATGTACGACGATGACCTTTCCAAGCTGGAGATGTGCTTTGACACCACCAACTACCAGTCCCAGTTCCCCGACAAGGTTCCCTTTGAGCAGCACGTCTTCCAGACCATCTACCTGAACAAGGACCGCGACCGCAAGCACTGGACCGACAGCGAGATTGACAAGGACAAGATCATCCGCGCCGACTGGTGGCATCAGCTTTGCCACACATGGAAGCACTACACCTTTGTCGTACCGTGGATGATGTTCCTCCAAGCCAAGAAGCGCGTCCGTTTCGCAGGCTCATGGACTCTGGTCAATGCGCACGAGGTCGCCATCATGTCTGGTATTGCTGCCGCTGTCGACATGGGCGCGGATTACCCCGAGGATTTGGAGCACGACAAGTTTGCGCTCTTGTGCTTCAGGCTCTACTATCTGTTGGCGTATGGGAAATGGTATCGTCGCAAGTTCAAGGACAGCAAGAGCCAGAAGGCCAAGGATGGTGCGAGCTGGGCTTCTGGGTTATATGGCAGTGTGTACAAGGGTCCTGGTGTGGCTGAGCAAGAGAGGTCGGTTTGGAGGGAGGAGGTTAAGGCAGGGCGAAGCACGGAGAACCTGGCGGATGGGAACAACGGGCGGAGTCAGCCTTAGAATCGAGAACGGGGTAGCGGATATAGAGTCTTTTGTATGAAAACAAGAGGAGACTTGCTGTTCAATGACAAACTATATCACCTAGCTATTTTACCGTCACAAGGAAATAATCGTGGGCTCAACCAACCAGTTACCTTCACTGGCAGACGGGCGTATTGGGGAACTTTAAGATTCCCATGGCCGACACAAACGCCGGTCCCACCGTACAAGAGCCAAAACACGGGGCTTCCATGGAGCCCACCTCACCAGCAGGATACCTCTTGTCGTCCGCCACAAGCTGCGTACCGCAACCGAGTGTCTCTCGATACGGCACGGAATCTTCAGAACTACGCTTTCACCCCGCACAACACAAACGAGACCCTGGACTTGTTCTGGGCCAGGTCGCCAGTGCCATCAATCTTAAATTCGTTGATACGGACCGAGTTGTGGCCGCAGAGATCGTCGTGCTTGAAGGCGACGTAGCCAAAGTCGTTGTACCCCGCTATAAAGACCGCTGACCAACCCGCAAGGCATATCTCGCCTGACGGCGTCGGCTCAGGCTCGGGTTCCCTGGTGGCGGTGGGCTCGGCCGGATGCCCATCCGGTCCCAGCTCGGGCCTTCCGGGTCCGATGCCGCCGCCAAGTCTTCTCAACTTCCCGAATCGTTCGTCTTCGTGTCAGCTTTTCTGTCAAGGATTCTTCAATTACCTGAAGTAGGTAGGTATCGCCCACCGGCTGGATCCACCAGATGTCAAGATACACAAAGAATAATAATTAGAAAGACGAAGGGCTCCACATACAATTTGTTGCCTTGCGGCGGTGAATTACCTCCACATCGGCAACCTCAAGCATATTCTTCTCAGCAGGGAGTAATTTGTGTCAGATAGTCATTTCGTCTTTACTCGTTTGCAAGCTTAATGAACCCTTTCAGCTGCAACGGGAAGCATAGTCTTCTATACAGGGGATGTTCTTATGTCAGATATTTGATTTAAACTTCGCTCGCTTGCTGGCTTGGCAAATCATGTAAGCCGATGTGCATGTACAAGTGAGCCAGCGTCGTCCAGATAGGGCAAGCGAAATCAAGATGCATTTACTCTGGGCGCTATTTTCGTGCAAGGAAATATCTTCGACCCTCAGCCCCGAGTCCAGACACCTCCAGATTCTTTTGACCCGCTGTTCGTGCTTGACAATGGATTCAGCAGTCCTGGTTCTGGCCCATGACTGGCTCTGACTGCGAAGAGATCAGGGCCTTATCGGCTCTGAATTCCCTCAAGTAATTTGCCATTTATAAAAAACAAAAGCAGAAAATACCGCAGGACAGTTATACAAACTAGGATATTGATTAGCCAAGAGAAACTAACGAATAACCTAAGATCTCACTTCAACTATGTTCTGCTACGCTCTTTAGGCAGCTGCTTTTGACAGCCCATACTCCGGAATCAACAGCGAATGTTAGCAAAGACGTGTAGTGTAGTCTTTCACCTCGCAAACAATCCTTTGTCTATCGAAGTCTCTGCGCATAGGTTCAATTGTTAGGAGTCAAGTATATAACTTGTGTCCCCCATTGTTAGTCGGTCCATTTGATGTATTAGCCCGAAAGCAAGCTGCTAGATTCTCAGCAAAAGACACTATCCTTCGCAAATATGTCGTTATCCACATCCTCGCGACGAGGGCAGCATGCTCTAGCAAAAACTGCTCTCTGGCTCCTTGGGGCAGCACTTTTCTCGCCCTCTCATGCTCTTACGCTGAGACAGAGTGTCGAGCCCCCTACGAAGCTTCCGGAATGGGCTACGGAGAACGATCTTCGCCACCAACCAGCTCTTGGTAAGATCGCTTCTTGCAATAAAGCTGGTAGCTGCGTGTTTTCCCACTGCTAATATCTTTTCAAGACTTTGATACTGATGGCTGCTACAATGTGCCTGCTATTGGCTGCGACAAGCGTGTTTCTGAGGGTTTATCTGAAGGTAGTGGCGAGTGGCAAGGCTGCCGTGACGAGGCTGATCTTGACAACTCCAACGTTTAGTAAGTTAGCTCCTCGATCATCATTCACTCGACTGTTTGATGCTGACCAGATTGGCCGTAGCTCACGGCAGCGATGTAATAATGGCTGGTGTGCTTACATGTATGACTACTACTTTGAGAAGGACTACGCTATCGGGCCCGGTACTGGACACCGCCACGACTGGGAGCATATCATTGTCTTGATTCCAGATGACAGCACCGTACAAAAAATAGTATGTGCCTCGGCACATGGCGGTTACGACTGCAAAAATGCGGACGAGGTGCGATGGCACAATGAAGGCCATCCCAAGGTATGATAGTAACTCTGAACCCGTGGTCGTTCATCGCCTAACGTGTATTGATAGATTGTTTACCATAAAGACGGGCCCTCAACACATGCCTTCCGATTCGCAAATGAAGCGGATGACCAATTGGAGAATCACAAAAAGGAGTGGCAGCTGGCTGATTTGGTCAGTTGGAACGGGTTCCCTACGCCGGATCATCGCAACATTCTAGAGAACCATAATTTCGGAAGTGCAAGTTTCGGGATAGGTCATCAGTTTGCGGACAATTTGGGGAAACTCGTTGATCGACAATGTGACCAGCACCCTAGTGGTCAAGTCATTTGCACCAATCCTCTTCTCCGAATTGAGTTTGACAAAGACATCGACGAGGGCTCGCCTGGCAACCTACCTCCTAATAACGGATGCAATCCTCCCTCTGACCCTGAGCCCGAGCCTGAACCTGAGCGACCAGACCTGCGTGTGCTACCTTTAGGAGACTCGATTACCAACGGCTTCGGTAGCAGCAGCAACGCCGGGTACCGTGGCTACTTCTACAACCTCGCCACTGAGGTTCACAACGTTGTTGACATGATCGGTTCCGTTCGGTCAGGCGATGCCGACGATGCCGACCACGAGGGCCATAACGGTGCCACAATCGCCGAGATTTCCGGGTACGCAGAGCGCGTTCTCTCACAGCGGCCCAATGTTGTTCTGCTACATGCGGGCACCAACGACATGGGCAGCGATGCTGGTGCAGTTGGAGCTGTTAACCGCCTGATGAACCTGGTGGACATGATCATCGCCAAATGTCCCGATGCAACCGTGCTCGTGGCCCGCATCATACCATCCACCTCCACAAGCATGCAAGCTCGTATCAACGCCTTTAACGACGGCGTTGAGGATGCTATGAACGCCCGCGCGGACGACGGCAAGAAGGTGCTAGTCATTCGCATGGACGAAGCTGTCGGCACGGCGGATCTGATCGACGGGCTGCACCCCAACGATCTAGGCTACATTATCATGGCTACTAACTGGTGGAACGGCGTGCAGCAGGCATTCGAGAATCGCTGGATCGACGATCCTGTTGCGGGTCAGCCTCCGGACAACGGCGGTGGCGGTGTCGTGTGCGGGACGGTGCCCACCTGGATCCCTCAGGGCACAGTCGCGTCCGGCGGTGGGCTCGGAAGCGCGGCCCTCGAAAATAACGCCACTGCTGTCTTCATGGCGGATATTGACGGCGACGGGCGGGACGACTACCTCCACGTCAGTGAGAACGGCGAGGTTTACATGTACTGGAATATTGGCAAAGCTCCCGACGAGGGTCCAAATGCTGGTAAGGTTCAGTGGCAACCTGTCGGTGTTATTGCGAGTGGTGGCGGGGCACAGGGACACCAGGTTCGCTTTGCTGATATCGATGGTGATGGTCGTTCCGAGTTTATCTGGGTCAAGGATTCTGGATCTGCGACGGTGTGGTGGAATAGGGGCTTCGCCTCTGATGGCCAAGTCAAAGTCATCTGGGGTCCAGGCGCCGGCGAAGAGATCGCCACGGGCATTGGAGACGGCCAAGGTAAGTCGCTACTTTACTTCAGTCACTGCTTTCTTCGGTTCAAAACCAAAACTAACCTCAACTTTGATGTACAGGTGTGCGCTTTGCTGATATGAATGGCGATGGGAAAGCGGACTTCATCCACCTCGCAGAGAATGGCGCGGCTACCCTATACATCAACCAAGGGCGTCGCGAAACAGGCGGCTGGGGATGGTGGAACTGGGGCGTGATCGCTAGTGGAGTCGGCACCAGCCGTGAGAACATTCGTTTTGCTGACTTGAACGGTGACGGTCGTGATGACTACATCGCCGTTGAGAGTGCCACAGGCGGGCTGAAGGCGTGGTATAACCGCGGCCCGCAGAGCCAGAACTGGGCTGCCGTCGCTCCCTTGGTGTGGTGGAACCCGGGATCAATCGCTTCCGGAGTAAGCTATTTACCAAATTGGTCAACCTCGAATATGGTGACGTTTGGGGACTTGAATGGAGACAGTAGGGACGAGTACTTATACATTGGAGTCGAAGATTCGAGTGTTTATGCATTCCTCAATGGATGCTGAGAAGTAAACGTAACATTCTAGATAAGTAGTTCTCATATCTAAACTTAGTACTCACTTCAGTAATGATATTTCACCCCTGCCTTCCAGGAAGACCAAGGCAAGATGGCCGAGCGATGTGAAGTCGTCCAGTCTCTTCTCTCCCTGCCTGTCAACTAGAAAATCTTCAAGTCGGCGACTGAAGCTGCAAAAGATGGATGTCGCGCGAGACGACACGCGCACTCGAGACTGCGAAGCTCGACCCGTTGCTACTCAGGATACAAACCCGCCAGGAAAATCAAGGCAAGATGGCCGAGCGGTCTAAGGCGCTAGCTTCAGGTGCTAGTCAAGTAATTGGCGTGGGTTCGAATCCCACTCTTGTCATATTTCTTTTGATTTTTGGCCCTATGAGTAGCTATGTCCATCATCTCACCATTTTAGCATAAAAACAGCTGTTGAAACTCATTGTGGTTGACATTGAAGGCATTTTCAAAGTTGGTCCTGGACATCGGCCGGCCAGCAACGGCTTTGGGTCCCACTTATGCCGAGTCCGGGCTTCCGCTCCGATCCAGCACTGTTTCCGTGCCAGAGTAATGATCTCTTCACTCCAGCCATGACACAAGGAATAGCAACGTTTTCGAATAGGGTGAAATCGATTGATAAATATTGCAGACTGGCCCTTATCTGGCCTTCATTTGAATCTTCATCTTCTGCGCCACCTGCTCGCTGTTCCAAGTCTCTTGCTGTTTCTTCGCCTTGGCTACCACAGCCCTCTGTTGTGGGAGCGGCAAGTGCGACAAGACCTGTCGATCGGCTGGGCGAAGCGTGGCTAATTGCTTCTCGAAAATTCCGTTCCGCTTGACGGCTGCTGCCGTCAGGCCCTTCTTGCTATCACCACTTGCTGTCAAGGCTGTCGATGCGTCTTCTCTTAGTGAACTTTTACCAACCAGCAGTGAGTCGCTGGATTTCCTCTGGCCTTGAGTAGACTTCCGGTGATTTTTAGCTTTCTTCCTATTTCGGTTTGATACGACCTTTCCAGATGCCAACTCTCTGCTGTCTTCGTCCGAGTCGGCGAAACGCCAGCATCCAAAATTGTCCTCGCTGTCTCTGCCACAACTAGAGCCGAGATCATAAAAGTCTCTAAATTCTGAGTCTGGCTTGCCAATGTCGATCCGACAGTGTGACTTGCCCGTCATGTGCTGCCGGACGGCCTGGGCTGTGTTCCTGACGGAGCTGCAGTAAAGACACTCCTTGTACTCGACCATGACGAGATGACAGTATTTGATCAACGTCTCCAGGTCTACTATCAGACTTTCGAGATTTGGAATAGAGAGCCCATGGCGCTTCTGCATGTGCAGCATGCTTTCTGCATGTGCAGCATGCTTTCTGCGAATTCTGTGCTGAGCTCATTGCAAAAGAGGCACTGGCTGGGGTTGAAGATGTCCTGGGGCGAAGTGTCTTCGCCGGATGATTCAGTGTCATGTTCATCTGTGTCTGATTTTGAAAGAGATGCCTCTTGAAGTCTTTTGCTGAGAAATTCAGTGGCGTTCTCGAGTTCGGCGACGGGGATCGACCGCGAGACCGATAGTTCTGACATGATGAGATGATGGAGGCTTCTTGAGCTATCCAAGGAGTGTCTTGCTGGACGTACAACACCTCAGCGACGGGGGAGAGATGAGGACTTGGATCATGTACATGCTGATATAAAATGGGACTTCATGGCATTTTCACCGGTCTTATAATGTGCGGTAAAAATACAATATCCACGAGCACAAGGTCTAGACCCAAGTTCGTTGGATGGAAGGAAGAACAAATGGGCCCAGAACGCCGCTGAAGTGCTTCACGACCTTCCTATTTGCGTAACTTACCGTATGACTGCATAAATAGTGCTCAAAGAGGCAGTGGAGTGGCGGCACGGGATACTTTTGGTAATCAACCAATAGGTCTTTCGCCGTGTCCCATGGAGGAGATTACCAACAAAACAGACTTACTCATATTCGGTCAGCTAGAAACTCTAAGTATACGAATACATGTAGCGAATGTGGGCAAAACAGGATGTCACGAACGGCGCATTTTCATGTTTCTTTGGAGAGGGGTTCTCTTCAATTTTTGTGGCGTGACATCGAACAGAGCAGAGCTACGTCCAGGGACCTTACACTCTAGAAAAGTGGTAGTACATGGTAGACTTACATTACCAGCGCGATTGAGAATCAGGCTTGTGTGTATAGCAACATTCATTACCATGGCATTGATACTACTATAGGTACCTTGATCAAGTGCAGCGATTGAGCTAGACCATCATACTCAAAACAATTCTTGGTGCATTCCACATATCAAGTCAAATTGCCTGAAACTACATAAGGTCAAAGATGATTATCTAGAAGGCTTAATGACGGGAAGACTAGCACAAGGCCAGGAAGGGTTGGTCTCTGGCTTGCCAAACTCGACATTGCCAACAATGGTGTAAATGTTGTTGCAGAGCGGCATCTTGACGTAGCCAGGGACGCGAATGCCGTTTCCAAACCACAAGCTGGATCCCTCGCTAGGCTGTATGTTGGTGTAATTCATGTTGAAGTTGTTGTTCATCCGGCCGCCCTCGACCCAGCCTCCATACACAGCGGCGACGATATCTTCCTTTGTGACACCACCCCACTGCTTGCCGTCCATGGTGTCCGTACCAAAGAGGGCAGAGAAGGGGTTGTTTTCACTGGGTCTGATGGAGGGGTGACCGATGCTCAACTCCACACCCTCGTTTCTAATGTCGAGAAGGTAGAAAAGGGCGCCGTTGTAGCAGGCAGCAGCCCTCTCGTGTGAGTCGGCAGGCAAGAATGGCCAGAGAGAATCGTCTCTCTCGGTCTTGCCCATCTTGCAGGGGAGACCGGTTTGGCTGGTGCTGCATGTTAGTAACGGCTCGTTGGGGTGCGCTAGAGAGTGGGCAACATACAGGACGAAGGGTCTCCGAGCCGAGGGAACAGTCTCCCAGGCAGCAAGCATGAGGTTGGGGTAGAAGAGCTTCTTGATCACCTTGGACATCTCCCTGAAGTCAATATCGTCGGGGGTGGCAGACATGAGGCCGTTGTCCAGCGCGGCAGTCAAGAACTTGATCGTAGCGTCATCTCTGGGAGTAAAGATTCTCTTGAGGTACTCGACCTCAGCTGCCTTCCAGCTGTCGAACACGTCGCCCATCATAGCAGACAATGTTCCATAGGCAGGCTTGGGTGAAGCACCTCTGTTTGCTGGCGTCAGTGATCCGAATCATCGTGAGCTATAATTTATGAAGTTTGAGACTTACGGAAGGAGGAAATCCTTTCCAATAGCCCAACTGGTGAAGATTGTGTAACTGCTGGTTGTGGTGATTTGAGATCGCATTGTCTGAGTGAGGAAACTCTGGAACAGGGCCGAGTACACAACTTTTCAAATCGTTAGCTTTGATGAACCAATGACATTAGAGAGTTCTTCGGGAGACTTACAGATGTTGTTGGTGTAAGCTTGCGCAATACCAACGACTCCGTAGATGACGTTGAGCATAATTCTCTGCATTCTCGCCGAAGAGTCGCTCTCTGCAAGAGGGACAGAGAATTTCTCGGCAAAGAGACCCATCTCGGACTGAATGTCCATCTGTGCCTGGTCGAGAGCCTCGAAGTACCGACGGTGGAACTGAGTCGGTCGTTAGTCGCTGTTCGCACACGTACAACATGTAACGTCTTCCATTGGGATGTGGGACTTACTTGGTGCATCTTGGAGAAGGAGTTGAGAATCAGATGGCCAGCGGGGTACTTGGTATCCTCGCACGTCAACGACGTTGAGCAAGGCACGTCAAGCAGCTGCGTGCATCGCCACATCTCCGGGCCGCCGAGATACCACGACGCGAACTGGCTAAACTCGAACTTGACCTCGTTCGGGCCAGAGTCGTACTCCTTCCAGGCCTTGAGTACCTCGTTGAGGGCCTCAGTGGCGCCGGCTGCCGCCCATCTCTTGTCAGGCAAGGCCTTTGCATCAATGACCGTACCTTGGCACTTGACGGTTTTCCAGTCCACGGCGGCGGCGGCTAGAGCCGTGGCTGAGGATAGCCAGACGGCTACGAATGAGAGGCGCATTGGGAGAAGGACTTCGTATCGAGACTGAAGGGACGTAGAGGGTTGCAGAGGAGCTCTAGCTGCGAGTATCAGCTTGATCCGAAGCTGCTGGTGACTGACATAGTCTTATACATTCCTCATCAGGCGTCTCCATGATGGGCAGTCAGTGAACTCAGAAGTCTGGGGCGACGACACATAGTGCTTGCCTGACACATCCTTAGTCCGTCCGCAACTTTTTCGCTGGGAAAACCTAGACTTGGCAAATTGTGGAAATTCAGTCTGCGGTAATTGACAAGACTTCACGATTGTCTCTCCTACGGAGGTTTCCGAAACTTTGATCGAAAATCTGATTAGATGTGATTGATCACTTTATTTCCGTTAATCTCGGTGACTGATCGGCAATAAGGCGGATTGCTGAGCACGGGAGTTGTAACAAGGATGGGGGCGTTCTGAAAAGTTTATCTAGACTTTAGTACGGACATTGACCAAGACCTGGCTCGACAAGCTGGCTTGCATCTCTAGTAATTAGAGTATGTGCTATTGAAGTGTCACTGGCGAACATTTTCGAGGGATCAAAAGAATCATTGACGACTGATACGGGGCAACTCTTTCAAAGTTCTGCATCTTGAAGTCAACCCTTTTCTTCCAGGTTTATGGCATTTTGAGGTAACGGGGACATGAGTTTCTACTATCGCCAGCCTGGAGAACATCGTCATATCTCTCCTTGCTAGGCTGGCTTTACAGAAAGCATTGAAATGGTGGAACTATCCAGGTGCTCGCGCTCATGTTAGATTATAACGACGAATCACTTCGTGACTAACTCGATCACATAGCTGGGCAGAAAATGGCATTTTTTTCGCCTTTTTGTTTACCGCATGTTTCGCTATCCTTCTCATTCCTCGCTGGGTTGATCGCGGTTTTGAGAGCTGATCACTGATGGGGCCAAGCGTTTTTGCGTTTTTACGTTTCTTTCAAGTCTGTGCTTCTGACAACGATCAACAAAAGTTGTTGCCAAGACCATGTTGAAAAATTCAGAAAAGCTTGTCATGGGCATTTTGCCCTGTCATCGGCCCAAGCATGAGCTGATTTCTCGTAGGCAGATCTAGGTTAACAGTGTTGTTGGTTCGATGCCCGGTACCTGTCTACCCTGATGGGCAAAAACCTTGTCCTCCCAGGACGAACTCCTCCGTCGCAGAAAGAGCGAATATCTCTCGGAAATGAGCGCCGCTGTGCGACAATGAGGCGGACCATGACTGCAAAGAAGAGGTGGATGAGGGTGCGAGGAGAAGCTGACGGAGACCGAGCCGATACGAAGGTTGTCAACCGACTGAGACTAGCAATAAGTTTCTACATATAATAGAGCTGTGCTGGAGCCTGGCTTTCGAGCCCGTGGCCATTTGTTTAGTCCTGCCTCCTTCCATTCAATACAACCAGCACTGGGTCGAACTTCTCCATCGAACAACTCGTAGTTTACAGATCAAGATAGAGAATGTTGCTGTTCACGAAAGCGTAAGTTACCCTCAACGATCAAACACAAATGCGACATGATACTTGTAAATTCGAGAAGACACTTTGCTAATATCACGGCAGCAACATTTGGGCTTGTTTGGCTCTGGTCCAGCTATGCTCTGCCACCGCGATTGACGTCACCGGTCTCAGCCCGCGTGGTGCCTACCGCGACGACTCTGGCAGTTCAGACTGTCTTCAAGTTGGTTGTGATACCTCGGTCTGCGCCAAAGACCCTGTCGATGCTCTTGCTGTCGCGTCGAAGGGAGTGAGCCTCATCTTGGGTCCCGATTGTGCTGGATGGGCTGAAGGTAGTCCTTCCGTGGTGCAGGGGGACAAGTCGTGCCCTGCGGGAACACAACTCTACCGTGGAGATTTGAGGGTTTGGCGCGCGTGGAACAATGTTGGAACGAAGTTCACAACCACATTCGTTGCATGGGAACAGTTCAAGGGTGCTACTTGCTGGGGTAGGAAGGATGTCACTTGCGTCAAGGGCCCAAAGCAAGTCCCGGATCCGAACACCGGCTTATGCGGACCATGGGCTCTGTAAACTGACTTCGGGCATCACTCGAAGGGATGACATGGGAGGCTATCGAAGAGACAATCGCGCAGTTGCATAGATAATATCAAACCTCAACGGCACACAAAGAAGAAATCTTTTGAGTCTGGCTACTTTTACGTCGACACTTGAATCACCACCATATTCCCCTCAAGTCCTGTCGGCTTGAATGCAAATGCAACGCTCGGGTGGCTCAAAACGAATATGGGCAAGACTTGATCCATGAACATGATCTACGAAGATCTGTTCAAGGCACTGAATGCAAAGAGTGCTCCAGAACCATGGTTGATGTCCGCCTCAAATGTAGAGAACGTCTTATGGGGAGGCAGTATGAGAATGGATACATCACCCACGGCCTAGTCGGGTATCAACCCTGACCGCGCCATAGTGCTTCAAGAATCGTCCCCAAATAGGAGGAGAATACAGTCTCTTCCTGCCAGCTCTGGCTATGGGCCACAGGACCCGGCCAGCTCCATCCTCCCAACCAATGGGCCGCTCGCCACCGTAAGCCTGCTCGAATTCGGGAGCGGCACTCATGTAGCCCGGGTCAACAGTGTTCATGGCCACGCCTAGCTTCCAAGCCATCGGCGCCTCCGTCTCCGTAATCATATTCAGTCCAGCCTTTGACATATTGGTGTGAACATGCTTGCTATTTTTAGCGGAGCTGCGTTGAGTTGACTCGAATATACCTTCTCTGGATGAGACGTTGACAATGTGACCACCTTTTCGCATCGAAGGTAGCAACTCCCGGATCAATATCAGAGGCACAAAAGTGTTGACGCTGTGTGCCGTGATGACATCCTCATAAGGGATCTCCGAGAGTGACTGAACCCAAGATGATGGGGCTGGTGTGTCTGTGCCAGATATTTGCAACTTAGACATTGAGTCGGAAACGGACGTGCTTTTCGGAGCTGAAGGCCCAGCAACACTACCAGAAACCTTTCCTTTCACCCCATCAGGAAGACTGCCGGCACCACCTCGTACACGGGGTGTGTAACCTTGGCGTATGACCACACCTTTTCCATCGTCCGACGGCTTGCCAAGAAGAAACTGCTCATGTTCAATGGCGCGTTCCTCTTTCTGAAGGGGATCCGTAAGAGTTTGAGCGGCGTTGTTGATCAGATAGTCAAGATCCCATCCTTCTTGCTGTAGAACTTTCTTGATGCTTTGGACCAGAGCGAAAGCATCAGCTGCTGCTCGGAAATCCGCCCCAATGATCCTCAATCTCTGGGCCCAGTCATCAAAGTCTGCCTCCTGCCGGTATCGCGAGAGCGCATCTTCGGGATAACGTGACGACACGATAACAGCAGCACCGCAACGGAGCAGCCGCAGGGCCGTGTGGAAGCCGAGATTGACGCGTCCACCAGTAACGACAGCGGTCTTGTCATTTAGTGACATGTTCTCGGGTAGCGACAAAGCTCTTTCCGCGAGATTGAACTCTCCACAAGGAATGCACATCGATCCCAGTTCTGGATGTGGGTTATCGAGAATCATGCGGCAGACGTAGCAAGTTCGTTTCCGACTGCCCATTGGCATATGTCGGTGCACCCGATCATACGGATTATCGTTAGCGGCTTCTGAAGGCGTATCGGAGAGTCTTGTCTTGATGGTCTCAATCATTTGCTCGAATAGCAGTTGGCGCATACCTGGATCAAGGATGGGCCAAAGGTGGAATGAAACTCTTTTAGATTCAGCTGAAGATGACGGAGGCATATAAAGAGCGAGAAGGCTGGGCAGCTCTGTTTCGTCTTTTGCAGCCTTTTTCGACAGGTCAAAATCATATCGTAGTTGGTTTGCGACATCTTGAAGTCGTGAGTTCGCGATGAAGTGTTGATAGTCGGACGGTCCCAGAAGAACACTTGGGGGGTCCTCGGCCACTTCAGGAGGACTGGCAATTCTCTCCTCGGAGGGCTGGTGTGCAGTGCTCTCCTTGATACTTGAAGCTAGTTCGGGGAATCGACTTTCTATTTGTTCAACGACACGCATAAAAGACTCAAGCCACTCCAATTCTGCCGGAGTACTAGGCATGGTGTTCTTGAGCTCTTGAAGTCTCACCCCTTTAGTCGAGCTCAAGCGCGGGAGGGTATCTTCGAGGATGCGAATGCTTTGGATGCCGTCTCTTGTCTTCTGTAGGTCCAAAGAGTAGTCTAGCTCTTCATTGACAGCATGAAATAGCTGGAGACACCAGTCGTATGGTACCAGTATTGGGTGGGCGTACCGAAACGACCATAGTGTACGTCCCGCTCTTCGAGCGTACAAACGTAGTTGCCGAGGAACATGAGCAATGTTCTTCCGTGGGGTTTGAGGTGCCAAGGGAGTCTTCAGGTACATTGGGAACTGCTCGTAGAGATTGGCCAGACGGTGGAGCTCTGATGCCTTTTCATCATTGAGAAGTATCTGTGCCTCGGCAAGACGTGGAATAATTTCGACGCAATCGTCAGGTTTCCAGCCTTTGGCGCGAAACCCCGCAACAGTCCGTGGATGTTGGAAAGCTGTTGAATCTTTGGGTTTGGGTAGATACTGTATGACGGCGTAGAGCTTGGTGCCACGATCCCGAAATTTTTCCTTGTGAAGTATCATCCTGGAAAAGGCGCGCACCAGGTCATCTTCGAGAACAGCTGCGGGACGTGGCCAGTCCGGCAAAGCAGAGGATGAAGCCTTGGCATGTCGGGGCCTAAATTCAGAGTCTGGCTTCGTTGCCATAACGAGCTGTCCCTCTGATAACAAAGAGAGCCTGTTCAAAGCTACCCAGGATTTTGCTAAGTGGCCGAGATGTTGATCGCGTAGTACCGCCCATGCTTTGCTGTTGCCGAGGGCTGATTGAAGGGACGTGCCGTGAGGAGAGTTTGCGCCATACTGAGTTCCCAGAAGGTCGAGGATGCGGTGATATGGGAGGTCGGCGAGGACAGGCTCAATGAGCTCAGCCGGGGTGACCGAGAGCTGCCGGGCGATTCGAACGATTCTTTGAGGGAGTAGGTCATCCATCGTTCTCGTGAAAGATAATCATCTAACCCCAATGGAGGAAGAAAAATCGGGCAAGCAGAGTTCAGATTGGATTGCCAGGTCGAAGTCTGGCTTAGTGACGTTGTGGACATGTAACTGCCCTGGGAAGCTGAACGTGATTGCTGTTGATACATATAATTTAAATGTCGCCAAGCAACGGAGATGTAACAGTAGAAGTGACTTGACAATGAGGAGAGAAAGGTAGGATGCCAAGACAGTCTCCAAGTTTCTATTGGCTGTGATGACTTGACGGTCAACTGTAGAATGCTTACACCGTACTTCCATGGTGGTAATCCGAATCGGGAAAATGCACGAACCCCTGGAATGACGCTGCTGACGGCTGCTGCCTAGCGTGGAGAACACTGGCCTCATCAGCACCATGAAATTGAAGGGCGCAAGTTGGAGTTGCAAGGTGTTGCAGATTTCCACGAGCCTCCATGCTATTCTGCTGCGGGTTGTCAACATGTCGGGTCAGACCAGATCGGTCATTCGAGATGGGAATCAAAAGGTCGACTTGTAGAAATGTCGGAGCGAAGGGCGTGGGTGAGTCAAATCAAATCTGCTACTTGTGCTATTTTGATGCCCTGTCCAGTGCAATCGCCCGATCGAATCATGTAGCAACACCAGCGATGTACGCTCAGCCCCTAGTCAGACGCTGCACTTCTTTTCTGGCCAACACCCATACTACTATGGTTATGCTCTACATCGAATCAGGAAGGTTTTCGAACCTGATCTTTGGCTCATTTGTCACATGTTATCGCATGAACATCGCCCGCTCTCACTCCAAGCTTGATAGCGTCTTAAGAATCTACATGTACGCATATTGGAAAAGGATAGCTGGGGATATTGGCGTGAACCAATGACTCCGCAGAACGTGGATGACTACATGGTTACACAAATTCCGATTCAAAAGCACAAACGATTTGGTTCAGATCATTTTCATAGTTCCTCTGTCGCGACGGTAGGCAGGTTGAATTCCACAAGGCTTGGGATAAGGGTGCTAACTTCCTGATGTGGCCAACCAAGCGAAGGACGCATGGAAAAATGGATAAGTTGCAATATAAAGCTCACATTGCAGACATTCCGGTCACCACAGGGACCCATTGCTTGAAGTTCTTTCGTTCTTATCAAACACATGCATAAAACTATCCAACTCCGTAATTCCATCAGTAGTCGAGAACTTCTTTCAAACTGTCTTGTGCTCAGCTAAAAGATTGACAAACTGGTCTATCTTTCGTTTCCTCGTTTCTGGACGTTTCGTCGTCTCGATCCGCCACAGGAAGGCATACCGCTGTGTCTTATTCAAAGCATCAAAGAACTTGTTTGCCTCATTGTTGCGGCGCAACGCCTCCGCAAAGTCTGAAGGCACTTCCATCGTGCTTGCAGAAGAGTAGGCTCGATCCCATCGCCCATCGGCCTTGGCGGCGTTAACCTCGGCCTGTCCAGCTGGTCTCATGCGTTCTGCTTGTGTCAGAGCCGCAACTTTGTCAACGTTCCTCTTTGACCAGAGGCTGTTCTTCCGTCGTGGTGTAAACCTCTGGATAAAGTGCTGCTCGTCGAAGGCTTTGCGTTGCCCGTCGATCCAGCCGAAGCAGAGCGCCACATCGAGCGCTTGATCATACGTGACTGTTGGCTTTTCGGCGTTCTTTTTGGAGATTTTGAGCCAAACGCCCAGTGCATTTTGGTACGAGTTCTCAAGGTAGCTCTCCCACTTGGAGTGATCCTCGAAGAGCAGCGTTGGGATTGACTCCGAGGAGTTTGGTGGAATAATTGCATTGCTAGCTGGCATAGGTAAAGATCCCGCTTTGTCCTTGATCTCAGCTTGTAGACTTGCTCTGGTACGTCTCGGCATGGTCGTCGATGAGAACTTTGGCTGGGGGTGTTGCTGTGTACGGCGTTGGGCGAGAGGGCTGTGTAGCAGTGATCCTTTGCTACACCAAAGACTTGTATACAAAGACCTCGAGTTTGATTTAAGAGTCGTTTTCATG